TATACAGGGGTGAAAAAAAAATAAAAAAAAAAAAAAAAAAGAAAAATAAAGATTCCGTGAAAATCAGTCACGATGGCCGCGCGGAGCGGTACACGAAAATACACGTGGCTAAAAATAACGAGGATGCTTCTTCTGTCTCCGGGCTTCTAATCAGCGCGAAGGATCGCGATCGTTAGGATACACGAGCGCGGTGGTTTGCGCGTGTATCGCTCCCGAACGGGACAACCCTAGGAAGAACGAGAGCGAGAGAGAGATACAGACAGACCCAAGCTAGACCGAGACTCGCTGCGCTCCGTAATATGTACACCAGTTAGCCGAATACTTTCCTAATGGAGGATTCCGCGTACGTCGCGAACGTCCAGCGCGGGACTTTCAAATGTCCGCTTTGGGTAAATAAATAACCCCGCGAGCCGAACGAAGACGAAGAGGGTATCTAGGGCCACTGGTATCTAGGGCCACCACGTACTGCCGAGCCTTGGTTCAGTGACAGTAATGGCGGCCATTGACATCGTAAGACCCAAGGAAATCCCGCGGACGTTATCGCACGTCGATTCGTCAAGATAGCACGTGTGTGCGCACAGTCAAAAACGTGGATAACGATTTAAAAAAAAAAAAAAAAAAAAAACAAATAACCAGTATCACGAGCAAGGTAGCTTCGAACAAATATACAGGTTTTAGCCTAAGATCGTGAATAATAATAACAACCACCTCTTTTCTCCGTCAACCTACGTAAGATACTTTTACCACGACGATTCGAGATGATCTTGACCCTGACGACCTATCGTTCCCAAGAAGTCCTGCTGCCCGGTTTCCCGATCTCGCGCTATGCCTCTTTCTCTCTCTCGCTCTTGTGCCAGGTATTACCATATTTCGGACACCCGGTAGTGGCCCACGAATCCAAACGCGGCTTGTATTTCGGCGCGCGTGTGAGAGGTTTAGGTACGGACGCTATCAGGCTGCTCTATCTTAACGACGCCAGATCTGTCGTTCTCTCCTATCCTCGTCCTCCCGGCTCTCCTTTTCCTCTCTGGCATCTATCTATGATCTCGGGAGCCAGCGAGGAGACTCGCCGAGGAAAAGAGCAAGAGCCTCGCGCTATATCCCGGAGTGGAACGAGACCGAGGGAGAAGGACGGAAGAGACGAGGAAGCGAAGGATGATGATGATGATGAAGCAAAGTACGACAATGACAACGACGACGGCAGCTATTTGTTTCCATCGTTCGTTCAAGCAACCAGTAAAATACGTTATTTCTCCAAGATATATATATATATATATATATATATATATATATATATATATATATATATATATATATATATATATATATATATATATATATATATATATATATATATATATATATATATATATATATATATATATATATATATATATCTATATATATACACCTACAACACGTAAAAATGCATTACACGAGTAATGCACCCCACGTTGTAGTTCAACGACTGAACTTGCACTTGGTCCAATAAGCTCTGCAAGCTGTCTGGAGAATGGTGAAATCGCAAAGAAGAGAAAATTTTCAAAAAATTTTTTCTCTCCATCGACCACGAATTCGCATCGCGGTTCCTGTTCGGCGGAGGCGACACCGAAATCACAAAGGTGCGCGCGCAGCACTCGTCCACAAGATTTATCGTACGCGCCGTCGCGGTACTGTCCCTCTTATTCTCTAGCCTTTCTCCGCCTCCTCTATCTCCGGCATCCTCCTTGCGTTTCATTCTCTGTACAGGACCAGCCTGCTTACTCCTGTGGACCCGCGAGATCTCCCGGCCGTACCCGGACACGGAGGCTGCTCTCTTGCTTGGGCAAACGTTCCAGCTAAGACCGTAATGTGTCAGCTTAATGTCAACGGGGAGTCACCTACTCACGATTCGTACGTACGCGTTCTCGATCCGAGCCTCGTACTGGAATATCGTATAGAAATTAGTATAGGTAACATCCGACTGGTATTCCCAGATGACTGACTTCCCATTACCAGGTAACAAATGGAATTTTTATTTGAAAAAAAAAAAAAAAAAAAAAATGTATAGGAACCAGCGACTCTTGTATGATTCGTGCCATATATACCCTCGATATACACGTTCCTTGATATACGTTTCCGTCACGAATGACTCAGCACGCGAATTGTCCTGACAAACTGGAGAATCAAAAATATATATACAATAGCAGTCTCAACCATTTTCCTTGCCAGTTGGAGAACGCCTAATTGTAAGCCAAAGACTACTCGGTACAGGGTAGAAGGCTGCACAGGGGATACGAGGGTAGTAAGTATACATATAGGTACTACACCCGGTATAGGAAAAGTGAGGTCAGGGAACGGGAGGGTCTTGGCACCGGGGGGCAATTTATTCCTCGTTGCAGCGCGTCTCGTGTTGCGAGTATTTAGCGACGGAACCCCTTGCTTAATTAATGATTACCAGGAAATGTGTCTGGGCTGGCCTTTATGCACCGTATATACCCCCCATGCCACTGTGTACAATCTTGTCCACCGCTACGAGGCTGCTCCCTTACCTCGGCTACAGATCGAACGCGATAAACCACAGCCTACCAACGTAGGTACGTAGGAATACCAGAGGTAAAGA